AGCTGCTGGCGGATCTCATCCACAACCTGAGCGAGAACATCGAGGCCGAGGACAAAGCGGAGGACGAGAAGTGGTTTGAAGGTGCGTGTGGCGGCCGCGGGGAGCTGCTGCGGAGCCTCTGCTCCAGGGAGACGCTTCTGACAGTCTCCCTGCTCGGGAAGAGCAGCAGTTTGGGAACTGGGGAGCCCTTCTGGGCAGTCTGACTTGGCACCTGGTCGGGGGATTAGTTAGCCCTGACCTTAGCATGCTTTTTACGCTTCTCTAAAATAAATGCATATTTACTATCGGAAAATGGTAAAAGAAGTAAAAACCACTGTTCCTTATTGCTCTATGCAAGATTGGTCCCAAACACAGTTTTTCCTCATTAACGTAGCTCTGCCTTTACAGTCTTGTAACGATCTGCTAACAGTATGTTGATAACATGCACCTGTCAGCCAGCTAACCTTTCTTCATGTTTTCCTTATACTTTCTTTGCAAGTTCCCCCTCCCGTTCCCAAGTCATTCCAGAGCAATTCGGTTTTGTTTTCACAATCTCCTGGTGTTCTGTGTATGCACGTTAACAAGAAGCATTTAAGATCCATAATACCAGCTGCTGTTCTCAGAGCAGATGCTCTCTATGGTCCTTTTAAGTGCCAAGAGCAGAGTAGGCTCAAACCCATAAAATAAAAATGCGTAAGAAAAATCTGTGAAAAGAAGGGATAAATACCCAGCTAGGCAGAAGCACCGAAAGTATTCAGTTACAACACAATCTAATTCCCTTTAGGTCTAGAGTCTCGTTTTAAGAACAAATCGAGCTACATGCGATACAGTTGTGAAAACAGAATACGAGGCTACATGAAAGAGGTAAAAGCTTCTCTTGAAGTAACTTATTTCCGAGCTGCTAGTAATTCTGTGACCACATATATAAAAATGCAGAAAGAAGCCTCAGGCTGGAGGAATGATTGGTGGTTTTCCTCCCCCTCCTTAGGTTAGTAGTTCTATTTCAGATGTTCACCCTACGTCACGCGATGCCTACAAAAGGATCATTGACCTGATGTCGGACAAGCTGAAATCCGTGAAGTACAACGGCTGCTACTTTGACAGGAGAGAGGAGGCGGCAGCCCGCCTGTGCACCGCGGAGGGCTGGTTCTCCTGTCAGGTAAGCTCAGCCCTTCCCCAGGCAGGGAGCCTCAGCTCCAGCAGAGGAAGGACACGCTTCCGTGGATGCTTCCGGAGCGCGGGATCAGGTTGATGTGGCTGCGGCGTGTGTGATCTGTCTGGGGTTGGGAGCCGAGCTGCACGCCTCTCCCTGTAGCTGTCTGGTTTCACAGGGACCTTTCGACAGAGCCGACTGCCCGTGTAAGCATTCCATCAACCCCTACAGCAACAGGGAAAGCAGAATCCTCTTCAGTACCTGGAATCTCGACCACATGTACGTACAAAGAATTCATCCAAACGTGCCCGTTCCGTGCCACAGCCGCTGAGTCTCTCCACGCCCTGTGCTGCGCAGTTGGCTCCGCTACGCGTAGGGCATTGGGCTGAAAGATGCCCGGATGCTGCAGCTGCTTCTGACATAAAATCCTGAAGCCAGATGTTAATGCTGTCTCTCATTAGCTTTGCTTCTCTTCAGATTTTCTCTGGGTGGAAATACATCCTTCCTCACTCCTCTCGGGCCCAAAGCCCCAGGCCCGTTTTCAGGCACTGTGCACTTACAAAGCAAACAGGATTTGCTAAACTAATTTCCTGGGGGCTGGGGGGGGAGGGAAGAACCACGTACCAAGAAGTCGAATTCTACCTGGCTCTAAAAGGAAGATGGAGGCTTGATTATTATGAAAAAAAGTCTTCTGAGGGTAGTATTGTTTTCTCTTTTGCATACTGAAGAATAGAGAAGAAACGTGCTGTTGTCCCCGAACTGGCAGAAGCTGTCAGAACGCGAGATGGAAGAGAAGTGAACTGGGAGTACTTCTATCAGCTGCTGTTTACCGTGGATAATTTAAAACTCGTCCATATAGCTTGCCATAAGAAAACCAGTCATAATCTCAGCTGTGACAAAACTAAGATTTACAGAAAAAGGAAGCAAAACCACAAGATTTCATAGTGGTATCTCTGGAAGTGACTTCTTTTTCCAAAATCGTATCATGCCGTACTTTTTAAATAGCTCTGAGTTTCTTAAACAAAAACCTAAGGAGTCCCTCGCAAAAGAGACTTGCTAAGTAATTCAACTCCAGTCTCACAAAGTGTATATTCATAGCGTGCCTAATCCTACTCTCCCACCTTCTCACTTAGTACAAACCTCACTCAGCTCACACGGTGCTCAGTGCGCTGAAACGCAGCTGAGTCAGAGCTCAGAAAGGACAGAGACCGATGCTGATTCCACCCTACGATCTTTCTTGCCCTGAGAAACGAAGGCCCAAAACTCACAGAGAAAAGAGTTTGCCTGAAGTGAGCTCTGTGGTGTACTGTACAGTCGTGTTTACCTGCTCTTTTACAGAACTCTGCTTTTGTGAAACGATTCCTACCTCTGGTACAAAAAATACAAACAGATTGATTTTTTTAACATCAGTTGATGCCAAGTGAACTTTTAGGGACTGTCAGTAAACAGTGTGAAATGGTGTGAATTTATTTTTTAATAAAACATTGCCACCATCTTTCTGTGTGCGTATGTGGAGGCAGAGGCGCAGGAGTGGTTAATGAGCACGGCCAAGGCAGACGGAAAAGACTGCTGAAACGAAAACGAGGGCCTGTGTGCAAAGACGTAGTTCTAGAAAGAGAGGGTATGAAATACGGCACTTAAGGAAAGCAGGGAGAGCTACTTCAAGATGGAGTAGTGCTGAAAACCATGAATATTCTATTAAAAAAATCAGATTTTTCTGTGTTACAGAATTAGAGTGAAAAGGAGCCAAGAAATACCGTTGACAGAAACAATGCATCAGCTGGTGTGGAAGTGTGAATAAATTACCATGTCATGCATATACAATTTGTTTGGCTTACAACTTCTGAATGTTTAACAGGCTATAGCTATATAAATTAATATTTATTTAAACCATCTGCTGATAACATTTTCTCTATATTTTTAGAAACGTAGAAGAAACTATTTATAACAATAAAGATCTGGAAGCTTATTGCATAATTACACTTTCAAAGAGGCATTACCGTGAACACTGAGTGAGTTAAGAGTTCCCAGAGTCATCTAACGTTGCTCAGGATTTTCTTAAAACACAGGCTAAAATCACAAGCCTGGTGGGATGAGCCACACTGGTGAGTGTTTGGAGGAGTGACACGCAGTAAAAACATGGATGCCACAAGGGCAGATGTTGCACCATTAAGAGAAAAAAGACCTTGTTCTAACGTGTTTTTCTTGAAAAAAAAAGAAGTGAGACCTCCTAGATACGGGCTGAAATCTATAAAAGCAAAAAGAACTTCTGTTTTCCTCCTAAGTATTAGTGGTAGAATGCTAAATTACAATTGGTTTCCAAATCACTGAAAATTCAGTCAAATTTTTGCCCCAGAGAATCGTGGGAGAACGCTCTATCTGCCAATTCCAGAAAAACAAACTACCAGTTGTGTTCCCTCCCTGAGAAAAGGCAAACGCAGACACCTTCTGGTAGTGACGCAGCCGACCATCGCTATGTGGCTGCAAAGAGAAAAAGGTTTTGTTTGTTTACAGTTTGTTGTTACACAACATCCTCTTCCTCCTCCTCCTCATCTTCCTTTGCGATGAAATGCAGCTTTCTGAATTCTCGCCTGCTCTTCATTGTGCCTGGGAGCGCAGCTGCTGGGATACCCTTTAAGAAAAAAAGATAAAATCATTCAGGACAGACCGTTGCGGCAAACAGCAGGCCTCCCGCCTCTCCAACGGCTCACCTACTAACACATCTGATACCCGAGGCACCGACACGGCTCTGCCCTTGGAAGGGGTGGCACACACCTGCAGCTAAAGCAGGGGGGCTCTCCAGGGGGTTGTCTGAACCAGGCACAGCTCATGGTCAACGCTGTGATTCCTTCCGCAGCTGTGAGAAGGTTCAGGTGGGGTGAGGTGCCCCACAAACGAGTCGTCACGACTCCCGCTAAATGCCAGTCCTCATGTGACATCTAAAAGAAGAGCATCACGTGCCCAGATTCACAGTGGTAAAGGCAGACCAAGGATTAAATGTAAAGCTCTGGCCCTTGGTCCAAAAGCAGAGGTGGCCAGAAATCAGCTTCCATTCCAAAGCATTACCCTAATCACGAGTCCCAGCCCTGGCAGCGCCCAAGGCCGGGCTGGGGGGGGCTTTGAGCAACCTGCTCTGGCGGGAGGTGTCCCTGCCCAGGGCAGGGGGGTTGGAGCTCGATGGTTTTGAAGGTCCCTTCCAACCCAACCTGTTCTATGACTCCAGTGGAACAGAGCTGAGGCTGTGAAGTGTGAACAGACACCATCTTACCTGTAAAAGCTCAACATCTCCAAAGAAGCGGTCCACGGGCATGGGCTGGTTGCTGTCTTCACCCAGGAAAGCGCTGTTGTCAAGCTGCATTGGCTTCTTTGGGAGATCTCCCTCCTTCAAGCTAGACACGTCTGACAGTAAGCTCTGACAGCTGCTCTCCTCCTCACTGCAGATGTAACCGTACAGGTTCTCATCACGGTCCACTTGTGATGGAGCACTGCTCGTCACCGCGTGTGGCTTCAGAGAACCATCGCGTTCCTTTTCCTGTGGGTCTCCATTGCTCTCTGCAACGCTTTCACCTTCCTTCTGCTGAACTGTATCGTGGTCTCCTGGATCTTCACAACGTGGATCCCCATGAGATGTTTTAGGTGTTTCCCCCAATGCAGCAAGGTTTCCATTTCCACCTGTAAGTCCTTTTGGTTCTGATTCTACTAGATCGGGTTTTTCACATTTTAGCCTCTTTGAGGGTTGTTTGTCAGCTGCTTCGTGTGAAGAACACTGACAGGAAAAAAAAAAGAAACATCCTAAAGCTTACTTAAAGAAAAATAAAATCACCATATCTCTTTAGCTGCAAGGCTGGAGGTGGAACCAAAGGGCTCCATCCCTGATCCAAACCTGCACCTCTACGAAAAATAATTAGTAGAAAGTTCACGTGAAAAGAGGCGCAGAGGGCTTACACCAAACCACAGCACACATTGCAGTGAAAAGCTCCTGCTCAAAGCACCGACCAGCACCGTGGGTGGCTGATCCCCATTTGCGGACGTTCCGAGGGAGCTATCGCTGGCAGTTACCGCAGCAGAAAGACCAAACCGCCCCGCAGGGCAGCGCCTCCCGCCGGGCCTCGGGCTCCTGGGCCTCGG